TAAAAAAAAAAAGAACAGGGTCTACTAGGATAGATCAGGCATAAGCTCTCGGGTGTCCTCTCCCAGTGGAGTCACGCGCAGCACTCACTGCTCCCAGAAACAATATATATGACAACACGTATGGAATGTTGCCACTGGTGCACTCACCTAAGTCTCGGTGCCCAGGGTTTTCACTGGGAAATAGTAACGTGCAGCACCCATGTAACTGACCTTATTACTCAGTCTCTGGCTCCCCCAGAGACCAAACTGGTGCAGCATGGCCTAAAGCCCCCACCATAAATCACGCTGTTGGCATAGATGACTTGGTGCGGATGGAGGCTCCAGGCTCACAGAGACACTCTTATTTGGTGGTACAGTGGGCAGGGCTGACTGCAGTGGCTCACCGAGCCTGTAGGACAGCGTAGATCCTGGGATGAGTCATGCTTCCGCTACGAAACAATTAAGCTGCCTTGGCACCTCACTAGGCCCCTGAATCCGTGCCAGCTGGTTCCGGACAGCATGGAGTGAGGGCAGCACATCCAGCTTCCTGCACAGATCTCTGATCTCAGACACATTCCTCAACAGGCCAGCTGGTCCCTAGCACCCTCGCCACCTGCTGCCCCCCTGCGTCCCCTCCCCCAGCAGTGATGTGCAAACACTACAGATGGCAGCAGGAAGGTGCTTGGTCCAGGTCTGAACCACTGCAATGCTTCAGTCCCACTCCTCCAACATCGGAGGGCAAGGGGCCTGGAGGAGTCAGCTGTTCTAATGCCACCACCCTCGACCCCCCCCCACCCCGCCAACACCCACGGTTCCATGTTTGCTCCCTCCCTTAAGATATGGGAGCCTGGAGACAGGTAAGAACGAAGCCAGACACTCTTCCCTTTCTCTCCTTGGTTCTGCCACACTCCCTACTTGGTGCTCCTGTGGCTGGCACTGGCTTCTCCCTTCCCTCACCAACACTCACAGAAAGGGTGACAGGGTCATCACCGTGAGGATTCAACCTGAACCAAACACCTGGGACTCTCTCACCGCAGAGCAGGTCCCAGGGAGTGGCACGGGCCTGCTTGGCTGAAGAAGACAGAGGACTGTGCTGGTGACTCCACTTTAGGTAGAGGGCTGGCCTCCAAAGTGACCACCATGAGTCTCATTGTCTTGTATTCGCATGCTCACTTAGTTCCCTTCCATAGTGAATAGGGTACCCAATAGCATATGGGGGAGATGACAGAATGTGACTTCTGAGGCTAGGTCATAAAAGGCACTGTGGCTTCTTGGCTTTGTTCTCTCTTGGCTCACTTGCTCTGAGGGAAGCCAATCACCATGTTGTGAGGACACTCAAGTAGCCCCCAGCCAGGATTGCTAGAAGTTCCCTCAAGCCCCCCTGGTTTGTGTGCAGGTGTTACTGAGGAGGGAAGCCTCCAAGTATGGAGAGAGAACTTTGATTGCAGGATGGGGGGAAAGTGGGGGGAAAGACCAAGGCTACCCTACCAGGGTGTGCAATTGAGGGGAGAAGGTGTTTTGCAGAAAGCTCTCTGGTCCCAGTCCGAATCCACACCCTGCCCAGCCCGACAGCCTCAGTTTCCCCATATGTCAGTCTGGATACTGCCCTTCTCGGTCCAGTGGGGGCCCTCCGTGGCCCTTGTTCTCTTGGCCTCAAGAAGATGACCCAAGGGGCGCCTGGGTGGCTCAGTCGTTAAGCGTCTGCCTTCGGCTTGGGTCATGGTCCCGGGGTCCTGGGATGGAGCCCCGCATTGGGCTCCCTGCTCGGCAGGAAGCCTGCTTCCCCCTCTCCCACTCCCCCTGCTTGTGTTCCCTCTCTCGCTGTGTCTCTCTGTCAAATAAA